TCACTCGGGCGTCTCGCTGATCGATCAGCGCTGATCTCCCTAGCCTATCGCCCACCCGCTCGATCCTCGGATCGCTCGCTCGTCGCAAATCGATCGACTGAGCTGTCATCCCCCCTTTTCTTTTTTCGAAAACGCGCGCGCGCCCGTCGCGGCAAAACTGTCAGGAGTCAGGTCCGCCGCGACGCGTCGCCGCAATGGCGGGCAGAGGCGCCGCGAGGCACGAGAGGCGTAGAAGAGAGGTTGGCGTGCCCCGCACCGCCCGGTTGGCAGTAGGAGGATTGATTGATTGATGGGAAGGCGAAACACAGTCCGACCAACGACTGGGACACCAACGCGGTATGGGTGGACGCAGGACGGGCGATGACGGTCACACAGGAGCGACACACAGAACCACAAGACAAGACACTCAGCCAAACTGACTGCCACACATCCTGAGCGAACTTCCCTAGTCACCCGCGGCCGGACTCCATCCGGCACGCGTCGCTGGGCGCTCAGAGCCGCGTCCCCTGCTCGCCACCCCGACGCCCAAGGCGCCCGAGCGACCGACAGGCGGCACGCGAAGACTGGTTGCAATCCCGCCGACCGCCAGGCCGCGGGATGATGCGTGCGTGGTCTTGTAGTGGGTCTCGGAAGCTCTCCTCTCGGGCTAGGAGCCAGCCCCTCTCCCTTGCCCCCGGAACACTGTGTCCGAGTCGAGGCGTGTGCTTGCTGGTCGACGGCCGCGCGCGGTTGGCATTGTGACGAAGGTTGCGCGCGGCCGCGGGGGGCCGCCATGGTTCGGCGCGGCGCGCCTACCAGCGGCAGTTGTCGAGGACATCAGCCTGTGTTTTTCTTCTTCTCCAACATCGGGATCACGCCTAGTGCATGAGCGGCGCCCTCTGCCCATCCCTGCGCCTCGCCGACCTGGCTCGGGGCGACCTGGCCTCGCTGCGCGCCTTCCTCTCCGGGCGGCGGACGTGCGGCACGTCGCTGGCGGCCCAGCTCGACGCGCGGCTCGACACCGAGAAGCAGGACACGCTGCTCACCTGGGCCGCTCGGCACGGGCAGGCCGAGGCGGTGCGGCTGCTGCTCGAAGGCGGCGCGAGCGTCGGGGCGACGACGGGCGGCGGCCGCGCCGCGCTGTTCATCGCGTGCCAGGAGGGCCACCCCGAGTGCACCCGGCTGCTTCTCGAGGCCAGCGCGGCGGTCAACCAAGCCGCGGAGGGTGGCGCCACGCCGCTGCTCATCGCGTGCCAGAAGGGCCACGTCGACATCGTCCGGCTGCTCCAGCAGGCTGGCGCGGCCGTCAACCACGCCAACAAGAACGGCTCCACGCCGCTGTACATCGCGTGCCATAACGGCCACCCCGAGATCGCCCGGTTGCTCCTCGAGGTTGGCGCGGCAGTCAACCAAGCCCAGGAGGACGGCGCCACACCGCTGTTCATCGCGTGCCAGAAGGGCCACCTCGAGTGCGCCCAGCTGCTCCTCGAGGCCGGCGCTTCGGTCAACCAAGCCAAGAATGACGGCGCCACGCCGCTGCTCATCGCGTGCCAGAACAACCACCTCGACATCGTCCGGCTGCTCCTCGGGGCCAGCGCGGCGGTCAATCAGGCCGATGAGGACGGCGCCACGCCACTGCTCATCGCGTGCCAGAAGGGCCACCTCGAGATCGCCCGGCTGCTCCTCGAGGCCAACGCGGCGGTCAGCCAAGCCCGCAACGACGGCGCCACGCCGCTGCTCATGGCATGCCAGAAGGGCCACCTCGACGTCGCCCAGCTGCTTCTCGAGGCCAGCGCGGCGGTCGACCAAGCCATGAACAACGGCACCACGCCGCTGCTCGTCGCGTGCGTCCAGGGCCACCTCGAGGTCGCCAAGCTCCTCTCCTCCTACGGCGCCTCCCGCGCCGCCGTGCCGCCCCTCGGCACGCCCGAGGAGGTCGCGAACCGCCGCCGCCACGCCGACCTCGCCGCCTGGCTGGTCGCCAGCCGCGGCTGGACGCCGCTCCAGCACCTCGAGGCGTGCCCGAGACTAGCGGCTGAAGAAGTGTGAGTGCATTGTCCTCACGCTCACTGTCCCTCTTCCTGCAGGCGCTCACCGTCGACCGGGCGCGGGCGCTGCTGCGCGGCGGCGCGGACTCTTCCTCCGGCGAGCCGTCGGCCCTCGAGCGGGCGCGCGTCCTCTGCTCGTGGGGCGAGTCGGATCCGACCGCTGCGGCCGTCGGCTCCACCGTCGCGATCCACTCTCTCGTCTCACGGCCGTCGATGAACGGCAAGGTCGGCGTCGTCGTCTCCGCGAGCGTTTCGACGGGACGCTTCGGCGTGCGCGTGGCGGGCGAGGCCAAGGCCCTCGCACTGAGGCGCGCTATGGTCCCTCCCCCACTCGCCGGATCCTCTCTTTGGACACGCCCCACGCCTCTGCCCTTCCGCAGGCCGGCCAACCTGGAGCCAGCGGCCGAGGCGGTGGAGGTGGGCAGGCTCATCCTTAAGGCGGCGGAGTGGTCGCCGCAGTCGCACGAGCTCTTCCCGGAGGCGGCTCGCAAGTGGGCGGTCGAGGTGATGCGGCTGGGCTACCTTATCGCGTGGGACGAGGAGCGCTTCGACGGCGAGGGGGCGGCGCCGGGGCTGGTGGACCTCTGGCGCACACACGTGCTGCCGCACGCGGTGAGGCGCTGAGGCGCCGAGTGAGGTGAGGATGCGAGTGCGATGCGGAGAGAGAAGAGAGCGGAGCAGCAGCGCGTGCGTTCAGGGGCAGTTCAGGGGGGGGAGGCTGCGTCGCGAGTCGGTCGCTTGAATTCTTTTTTGCCGTTTTCTCTCAGGAAGAGCCGAGCGAAAGTTTTGTTTCACCGCATGGTTTGCCTTTTACAGCCGCCTCAGGCATCGGAACAAACCGGCTTGGAGAGAAGAAAAAACACAACCTTCCCTATCATTGAAAGTAGCAACCTCTCCGCATGGGATTTTCTGCCCTGCCCTGTCGCGGCCCCGCCTGCCTCCCGGAGGCCCGCCCGGCCATGCAATCCGCCGCCGGACCGCCCGGCGGGTCCAACCCGAAGCGGGCGACCGGCCGTTCGCACCGCTCGGCCGACGGGGCGAGCCCCGCGGCCCTCGATCGCTCGCCCCGGGAAGTGGCCCGACCGGCCCACGCGCACGGCCTGGCCTCTACCGCCACTTTCGGCGGCGCAATTTGCGCCTTCATCGCTCTCTGGATCCTCCTGGCACCCATCGAACTCCTCCCGACGGTCGGCGGCGCCCACCCCGTGCCTGGCGAGTACAGACCACGCCTGCTATTCACAGCACACGCCCTCGCCGTGGGCTCGGGCATCCCCTGTGAAAAGGTGAGGCGTGGTCTGTTCTCGCGCCGGCGCCCGGCTCGACGCGATACCGTGGGCGCTCCGGCGGATGCCGACAGCGGGATCGGCCCACAGTGCCGCGCAAGCCCAGCCACACGAGGGACCGGCAGCAGGGACCTCGAGTGCGCAGGCGGGGACCGAGCAGGAGGAGCTGCGCGCGGCAGCGAGGCGGCAAGCAGAGGCGAAGCAGCGGCGAGAGAAACGGTCAGAGGCTCAACCATTCGTCGGCTCGTCAGGGTTGGAAAAGGGGAAGGGGAGTCTGGGCAGTCGGCGAGGGGGTCGTAGCCAACAGTGCGTACGGGGTAGCCACCACTTTCCTGCCTCACAAGGGCGGGGCTGTCCCGGAAAGTGAGAGACGCCGGGCAGCGTAGTGCATGACTTCAACCTCCCATACGTGTTTTCGTTCCGCTCCTCCCTCGGGAACAAACAAAACGCGCGTGAACAGGGCTCCAGGCCCCAAATGACGTGTGAGTGTTAGAGTTGTTTGGTATTGCTAAAAAATCTCTCCCTCGGGCTGTTTGTTCCAGCTTCCCATCTCCTTCCAGCTCAGGCGAGGCGGGGGGGGGCGCGGGTGCGGGGTGCGGTGCGGTGTGAGTGTGTGTGCATGTCGTGTGGCTTCAGCAAATGTCCATCCGTCTGTGTTCTTATTAACAACGAAGGCGCTCTAAAAAGAAAGAAAAGAAAGAAAAACTTTGACTGCCGTGGGGCTCCTGCCCGTGTCCGGGTGTGGAGATGCGAGGGTCGCCCCCCCTTGCCCCACCACTTTGTGTGTGTGGAGAAATTTACCTTACCTTAACCGAGGGAGGGACGAAGGCGGCTCAAAACAAAAGAAAACTTATCAAGTTTTGTCGGCCCTCGAGCAGCACTCTCCGCCTCCGATGAGACGGCACGTCGCCAGCCTGCTGCTCCTCCACGGCGTGGCCGGCCTCTCGTTGCGGCACGCCGCCGCGCCTCGGACGGCGCCGCGTGCCGCCGCGCCGTCCATGTGTGGCATCCTCGCCGTCGTCAACTCGAAGCTCTCTCCTGAGGCGCTGCGGTTGCAGACGCTCACGCTGCAGCGGCTCGTGCGGCACCGAGGGCCGGACGGGAGCGGGATCCACGTGGTGGAGACGCCGACGGGCGCGCGCTGCTCCTCCGTCGCCCACGAGCGCCTCGCCATCGTCGACCCGCTCTCGGGGAACCAGCCGCTCTTTTCGCATGACCGATCGCGCTCGCTGACCGTCAACGGCGAGATCTACAACCACAAGCAGCTGCGAGCGGAGCTCAAGGACCCGACGGCGTTCCGCACCGAGTCGGACTGCGAGGTGATCGTCCACGGCTACGACGAGTTCGGCGTCGACATCGCCTCGAAGCTCGACGGTGACTTTGCGTTTGTGATTCTCGACGACCAGACCGGCGACGTCTACGCGGCGCGCGACCCCGTGGGCGTAAACTCGCTCTACATGGGCACCGGCCTGGACGGCTCCACCTGGTTCTCGTCCGAGGCCAAGCCGCTCGTCACGGGCGGCTGCATCGACGTGCGCATCTTTCCCCCCGGCCACTACTACCTCGCGCGTGGCGGCGAGGAGGAGGGGCGGCTGGTGCCGTATTACGCGCCCTCGTGGCACTCTGCCTCCGCCGCGACCCAGCCCCTCAACCTGGAGAAGCTGCGAACCACCTTCACCGCCGCCGTCGAGAAACGGCTCATGGCGGACGTGCCATACGGAGTCCTCCTCTCGGGAGGCCTCGACTCGTCGCTGGTCGCGTCTGTCATCGCGCGGCTGAAGCGGAAGCGCTTTCTTGAGCATGGCAAGGTGTGTCGTGCGTACAAGTCCTTCTCCACGTCTCCCGCACATCTCCCGCACATCTCCCGCAAATCTCCCGCACATCTCTCGCACATCTCTCGCACATCTCTCGCACATCTCCAGGTGGACGACCTGCAGCCCGTCAAGTCTTTCTCGATCGGCCTCGACGGCTCGCCCGACTTGGCAAACGCGCAGAAGGTGGGGGAGTTTATCGGCACCGAGCACTATGGTTTCTCCTTCACTGTGCAGGAGGGCATAGACGCCATCTCGGACGTGATCTACCACCTGGAGAGGTATGACGTGACCACGATCTGCGCGGGTATGCCGATGTTCTTGCTTGCCCGCAAGATCAAGGCGATGGGCATCAAGATGGTCATGTCGGGCGAGGGCGCCGACGAGACGCTGGCGGGCTACCTCTACTTTCACAAGGCACCAAACGGCACCGAGCTGCACGCCGAGTGCGTGCGCAAGGTGAGTGTGAGACACACACACACACACACACACACACACACACACACACACACACACACACACACACACACACACACACACACACACACACACACACACACACACACGAAAGACAACCCAAGGGAGGATACCCGCGAAAATCCATTCTCCCGTGGTGTACCTTGAGCACTTGAGCACTGGATAGGTGGCGGCGCTCAACCAGTTCGACTGCCTCCGCGCCAACAAGGCGACCATGGCGCACGGCCTGGAGGTGCGCGTCCCCTTCCTCGACCGGGGCATGCTCGACGCGACCATGACGCTGGACCCGGACTTTAAGCTCACGCGCAAGGGCGAGAAGACGCAGTTCCTCGAGAAGTGGGCGCTGCGCGAGGCGTTCAACGTGCCCACCGAGCCGTTCTTGCCACACGAGGTGCTCTTCCGCCAGAAGGAGCAGTTCTCGGACGGGGTCGGCTACTCGTGGATCGACGGCCTCAAGGAGCACGCCGGCAAGGTCATCTCCGACGAGGACATGGCGACCGCGCCGATCCGCTTCCCGTGCAACACCCTAGAAGCAGAAGTACGCATCCTTGTACCCCAAACTGTACTCCGCTGTATTCACTGTAGTCTTCTCCGTGAGATTCGCCTCGGAATGCGCTGCACAATACGCGTCTTCCCGCCCTCATGTGTGCGTCTTTTTTTCGTAGGTACAACACGCCTGGCACAAAGGAGGCCGCCTACTTCCGCACCATCTTCCACTCGCACTTCCCAAACAACAACTACGGCAACGGCATCGAGGCGACCGTGCCGGGCGGCCCGTCCGTCGCTTGCTCCACCGCAAAGGCGATCGAGTGGGACGAGGCTTGGTCCGACCCGACCAAGCAGGACCAGTCGGGACGCTTCGTCGATACGCACGACGCGGCCGTCGCCTGAGGGCGGCGGAGGGTGAGAGCCCGCAGAACAGGTGTGCTACAACGCGCCGAACACGACTCGCTGTGTGACTGACTGTCTATTGCCGATATTGGCGGCCTGCTGGCGGCGTGTGCCACCGCCAAAGGAGAAGCCGGCGCCCCGCACACAGTTTGGTGACTGGAGTCTGCACAGCCCCGGGGGCAGCACGGCACGAGTTACAAAAGCAAAAACACTCCATGTGGCATGCGGTCTTCTATCTAGTGTGTGCCCCTTTCGTTCTCAAAAAGTGTAGAGAAATCACCGGAGCGGAGCATGTTGGGCCATGGGCGTTGGGCGGATCTAGACGGAGCACTTGGAGAGATGCGGTTCGTCCCACCTCCCACGTCCGCGTTTTGGAGAGCACATGGAGTTGGACTTGGAGACCTGCAGGAGACAGTGCGGTCAGCAACAAAAACACTCCATGCGGTTGGTATATGTCTAGCTTACCCGACATTGCCTGAGAGGTGACCCGAGATTGCCCGAGATTGCCCGAGGTGACCCGAGCGGGCGTGCTGGTCCTGGCCGAGCCGAACTGTTTGCTGCTTAGTACTGCTTAATAATTAGGTGGAGCGAGTGTGCCGCGGCTGGTCAAGTCTAGAGGCGGAGGGGCGCGAGAGGCAGCGGCGGCAGTACCTGACCGAGGCGTGCCCGGTCGCTAACCCGTGCGAGGTGGACCTGCTGGCCTCTCTGCTCGAGCTGGATCCGACCAAGCGCCCCGACGCGGCCGCGGCGCTCGAGCACGCGCCAATGGTGTTGAATGCGTCGATCGGAGGAGTCTGAACTAGGCGCAGCATCACGCAATCTTAGTGACTGCTCATCAATGAATGGACTAATTGATTGATCGGCCAGATGAGTCTCAACCCAGGCGCTCGAGCACGCCTACTTCGACGCGCTTCCCTCGCGTCCACCCGTCACCCTAGAAGCGGAATACGTGTTCTTGTACCCCATCTAGCGCCCGAGAGGGCCACGTATTCAGCTGTATTCAGTGTATTCATTCTTCTCCGTTGTATTCACGCGGTGCTCTGAACACGCTGCACAATACCGTCTCCCCGCCCTGAGGTTGGCGTATTCAGCACGTAGGCCCATCACGCAGGTACTGGACGATTGAGGAGAAGTGATCTGAAAAATCGAAAAAGAAACGCCGCTCGGCGGGGGTACTCTGCTGCAAGCGTGGCGGACGATGATCAGCTTCGACCAGCCCTTTTGTCACTGCTCCTCAGCGTCAGGAATCACGCGGACAGGCATTGTCGCGCGCATGCTTTGCCTCGTGTCGCTGCTGGCGTGTGTCATGTATCTACCCGAACGCTCAGTGGCTGTGGAGAGCGTGGCCGTGGGTGCAGCGATCAAGGCATACGTGACGGGTGGTGTTGCCGTCGGAAGAGTGCAGGCGGGCAGCGTGGCCGCCTTCCGAGGCATCCCATACGGCAACGCCGAGCGGTTCTTGCCTCCGACTCCTGCAGCCAGTTGGGTCGGCGAGCTCGACGCCTCTGCCGACGGTCCGGCGTGCCCGGGAAAGAGCCCGCCGTACGACCGCCACATGTCCGAGCAGTGCCTGTCACTCAATGTCTTCACGCCCGTCGCCGCCCTGGGCAATGCCTCCGCGCAGTTGGCCGTGCTCGTTTATCTCTACGGTGGCTCGCTGAACACGGGATCCGTCGCATCGTATGGACCGATCGAAAACTTGGTCAGCGGCAGCGAGGGGCGCGCGATGCTCGTCGTTATGAACTATCGCCTCGGTGCGCTCGGCTTTGCCGCGCTCAAGGAGCTGTCGGACGCCGACCCTCGCGGAACGAGCGGCAATCTGGGCCTCCTCGATCAGCAGCTCGCCATGCGGTGGGTCGCCGCCAATGCCGCCGCCTTTGGTGGCGACCCTCGCAAGGCGACGCTGCTGGGCCAGTCATCGGGTGGCACGTCGATCTTCGCCCACCTGGCTGCGCCCGCGAGCCGAGGCCTCTTCCATGCGGCCATCTCAATCAGCGCCTCGCCCAATCTCACCATCTCGTACGAGGAGAAGCTGCGGCAGGACGAGGAGCACTGGTTCAAGCACACGCCATGCGCCCGCGAGGCGCGCGGCGCGGCCACGCTCGCGTGCCTCCGCGCAGCAAGCGTCGAATCGCTGCAGGCGGCGCTGGAGCCGCGTTACGACTACTTTGACTTCAACCACAGCTTCGCTGCATCGGTGGTGCCGCCGCGTCGCGGCCCCGGCGGCGGCTGGTCGGCGCTCGGATGGGCGGCGATGCCATATGTCGACGGCGTGACGGTCACGCGTGGCACGATGGAGGCGGCGAAGGCGGGCTACGACGTGCCCGTGCTGCTTCAGAACTTGGAGGGCGAGCTCAATTGGCAGCCCGACCCGACCCTCGAATCCATACGCACACGCGCCGAGGCGGCCGCGCGCATTGAGGGGATGCTCGCCGCCGGATTGGGCGCGGAGGCGGCGCGGCGGCTCTACGCGATGTACGCGGGTGTCGGCGGCGACAACGACACGCTCGCTGCCGCGCCCGCCTATGCGCTCAACGCCGATACGGGGTGCACTTGCGGCCAGCTCGCGCTCGCATTCGCGGCGAGCGAAGCGCGACGCAGCGAGGGCACGGCGCCCGTGTACATCTCGCTTGTCCGCGCGCGGCCGTACCATCCGTTCGGTCCGCTGTCGGAGTCGTGCACACGCCCTGCCATCTACGCCTTCCACCTTTGGGACTTTTTCGCCGCCGTGAGCGTCGGCGCGCCCACGGCGGCAGAGCGCGCAAACTGGTACGACGCGCGGTTCGACGAGGCTTGGGTCGAAGGGAGCAAGTGTGGTCCCTACCGGCCCGCCCCCACGGACGTCAAGCTCGGCCGGGCGCTTCTCGAGCAGTGGCTCTCCTTCGCCGAGCACGCCGGCTTCCCCGACGGTGTCGGCTGGCGCGCCGTCGACGACGCGCTCGGCTGGCCGCGCCACTACACACACGGGGTGATTGATGACGCTGGGCTCACCTCGAGCGTCGTAGATCTCAAGAGCGACGCGTGCACCGCGTGGCGCGAGGCAGGTGTGGGGCCGGAGTGGTGGTGGATTAATTAAGATGCCAGAAACGCAGCCTAGCTGCCTGCGCTGTTGGGGCGGAGCGCACTCTCGTTCCTTCCCGCCCCTAGCTCGCGCTCCCGAGCGGCAGCCGGATGCTGCGCGGCAGGGTACGACTCGCTGCAGCTGATGCGCAAGTACCGCCTCTCCAACGAGTCCAAGGCCGAGATCATCCTCTGCAGGTCGCGCGTTCACAGCCGGATGAGCCTGAGCGATATGGCGTCGGCCGGCTTGCTCCGCTGGGCCGCTGCGGCCGCTACCCGCTCCTCCGCGCCTGTCGCGAAGACGAGCCGGCGCTGCGCCTTCCGTCGCGCGCAGCTGCCAACCGGACGCGTCCCTGCCTCGCTTTGGGTACGTGAGGGATGAGCGCGTGCTCTCGCACTTGCCGCGAACACGGATGTGTGAGGACCGGCTGTGGGTCGATTTGCTGCCAGTCTCGATGCAGGCCACCCTGCCGCCACAGCAATCCGACGCCTTTCTGGCGCGGCTGAGACGGCAGGGACTCGCCTGAGTACGGTGAAATGTGAAAGTACACAGAGTTTCGAGAGCGACATATGTCTGGCTCGCTGGGTGCGCTTCTTAGCTCCCCGGCCCTCTGGGATGTGAGGCTACCGACTGCACTCCAAGTGCTCCAAGTGCATATATGGTGCGTCGCTCCGATCGACTTTTTACGAGTTTCTACTTCAAGCAAGCCTACCACTACACTTTTCGCCTCCTACAGTTACACCCTCACACTGCCTGACCTACACATCTATATACACGTCGATGACGTGCACGTGTGCGAGCGCGTCCGTCACCGCTCTCTTCGTAATGTAACCCGGTTGGAAACGTGCTCCCTGGTGTGTGTCGTCGTGGTTTCGTATCAAGAATTCTCTCTCTCGGCGTATCTGGCGAGGGGGCGGCGGTGGAGGCGGCGGAGGCGAGGCGGCGCGAGCGGCGGCGCGGCGAGGACATCGCGAAGAAAAGAAAACCCCCCAAGATTGAGAGAATTTGTTTCTCTCGTGAAAAAGAAATTTGTTGGCTCGCGCGAAATGTGTATGTCTTTCGCCTGGACGCTCGTAGTGGCGCTCAGCGTGCCTCAGCAGCCGGACGCGGCGCTGCCTCTCGCTGGCAAGCGCATCGCCTTCACGTCTCCACGCGCGGTCGCCGCTCCGTTCTCGGCCGAGCTCATCTCCGCCGGCGCGAGGCCGGTCTGGTGGCCGCTGGTTGAAGCGGTGCGGCAGCCGCCTCCGACACCGCCGCGGCTCGCCGGCTCACAACCACGCACCACTGCTGCACCCTCCGGCGCAGGTCCCGCTGCCGGAGTCAGAACTCGGCCCGCTTGACGACCTCATCATGCGCATGCCAGAGTCCTGCGCCGTCGCGCTGCTCTCACGCCACGCGGCCGACGCGTTTGTCGAGCGCGGTGCGCGCATCTCGGATGGCGACGCGGAGCTCTTTGCGGCGATGGTCGCCGCGTCCGGAGCGCAGCTCGCTGCCTGCGGCGGCGCGGCGGCGCGGCTGCGCGAACTCGGGCTGGCGCCCAGCCTGGTGCCTCTCGTCTCGACGGCCGACGGCCTCGCTGCCGCCATATGCCACCTCGGCCTCGCTGCGGGCGGCAGGCGGCTGCGCGTCGTTTGTTCGCGCGTGGACGAGGCGCTGCTCCGAGGTCAGCCGAGATTTGCCGAGATTAGCTGAGGCCAGCCGAGGTCCGTCGAGATTCGCCGAGATTCGATGAGATTCGACGAGATTCGCCGAGGATGGCCGAGGTTAGCCGAGAGTAGCGGAGGGGCTGCTCCGGTGCTATGAGTTGGTCATGCGTGCACGGGGGGACGGAGGCGAGATCTCGGGTAATCTCGGGCTCATCTCGGGCTCATCTCGGCGCAGGCAAGGAGGCCGAAGAGGAGGCGCTTGTTGCGGCGCTCCTCGCTGCGGGCGCGGACGCGGATGCGGTCGAGGCGTGTGCGATCAGGCCGCTCCTCGCCTCCGGCCACGAGCTCTCGCTGCTGCGGGAAGGCGGTCTGGACGCAGTGTGTGTCGGGTCTGCCGAGGAGGCGAACGCGCTCGCTGCGGCGCTGGAGGCGGCAGAGGGCGCTGTCAGCAACGGCACCGCCGCCGCCCTCCTCTCTCACCCAGCACACACACGTGTGCAGCCGCGCCCCTCCGCCCCGTGATTTCTTTTTTGTGACTCGGGCGCGGCCCGGGGAGGTGTGAGCCGCTCACAAGAGCGACGAGTGAGTCAGGCGTCGCTCTGCCATACGGGACGCGGCTGGTGGCGGCGGGCGCGGCGGCGCGGGAGGGGTGCGCCGCCGCGGGGCTGCAGGTGCGATCTCGGCGAATCTCGGCGAATCTCGGCGGGGTTTCGATCTCGTTGGGAGGGTGTCTGCCAAGATCAGCGAATCGAGATCAGCGAGTACTTGTCGGCGGAGCTCGGCTGGTCGACCATCTCGGCTGATCTCGCCTATCTCGGCTGATCTCGCCTATCTCGGCTGATCTCGCCTATCTCGGCTGATCTCGCCTATCTCGGCTGATCTCGCCCGCAGGTGGACGTCGAGTCGCGCGCAGAGGCGGAGGAGGCGGCGGCGCTGGCGAAGGCGGTGGCGGATGCGCTGGTGGAACGGAGGCTGGTGTGGTGAGGAAGGAAAGTTCTCCAAACGAGCGGTGAGGCGCCTTGTCTGTGTTCAGCTGGTAGCGTCAGTGTTCCGTCTTCTCACCACGGCTCAGACCCACAGGCCGCCTAGGCTTCTCTGTGCTCACTGCGCGCGCGGATATCTCTTCGTGCTCTACGCCTCTACCTACTGTGCCTGATCCTGTCGCGCCGTTTTCGCGCAAAACGCTCGGGGTGACGGCTTTTTCCTTTTACACGTGTGAGACTGTGAGTATATGTTGTATCGCGCGCCTTCGTGCGGGGGGGCGCCGAAAAGAGGACCCTCTTAGCGCCATCGCCATGTGGTGCTGCAAGCAGCGCGCCGGGCGCCGCGGGCGACGACGACGACCCTCCCCCCCCCCCCCCCCCCTGGGGCCTCTACACGGCTTTAGAGTTTAGTCAGCCACAGCATCGAGGTGCGGGCCGGCAGCGCCAGCGGGCCGCAGCACGCTCGCAGCAGCCTGTGCTTCAAGCGGGCCCGGACCTGCTTCGAGCGGGCGCCCCCTGCTTCGAACGGGCGCCCCTTGCTTCGAGCGGGCGCCGGGGGCGGGTTCCCCTGGGGCAGATGCGGCGGGGGATTCCTTTTCTGAAATGTCTGCCTCCAATGGGGAAACAACTAACCTGATCTCAGACTCACTCGTTACGAAAGATCGCCACCCACCGCGTACTCTCTCTCTCACTCCACCGCCAAGATGTGTACAAGTCCATCGGATAGTGCTCAATATCTTCGCATGCTCGTCGTTGGTGATATCCGCGCGAGGTCATACGCCACAGGCCAGCAATCACTCGGTGATGAGACTATTGATGTAGGCGCGACGCCCGAGTGAGTGGCTCACTATACGCGCCTATGTGTGGTAGTACAAGATAGACTCACCAACATGGTCACAAGTCTTTAGTAAAACGCCAGCACTCGACACGACGAAGGTGTATTGGGCTCGAAGGCGCGGTGAACACAACCGCCTCGAGCGTACCGCTCAAACACGAGCCGAGGGGGCGGGAGGGGGGGCGGCGGGAGGCGGGAGCTGGGTCCAGTGCGCTCTGCTGCTGGGGGGGTCGGGATGCCCCCCCCCCCTACCCACTCGAAGAGCGATGGTGGGTGCAGGTTCCCGGAGCTGCTCCGATGCGGCCGTGCTAGCGGCGGAGCGAGGCGAGGAGGAGGCGGTGCTGGCGTGGCTTGAGGGCGGCGGGCGGGCCGACGCGACGTACGAGAGAGGCGAGGTGAGAGGCATCACGCTGCTGATGGGCGCCGCCCGCTGCGGCCAGGAGCGGGTGGTCGAGTTGTTGCTGTGGCACGGCGCGGAGCTCAACCTGCAGAACAGCAAGGGCCGCACCGCGCTGATGAGCGCCGCCTACAGCGGCCACGAGCGGGTGGTCGACTTGCTGGTCCAGCGCGGCGCTGCTGTCAACCTGCAGAGCAGCAAAGGCTACACCGCGCTGATGTACGCCGCCCTCCACGGCCACGAGCGGGTGGTCGATCTTCTGTTGCAGCGCGGCGCGGAGATCAACCTGCAGGACAGCGACGGCTTGACCGCGCTGATGTACGCCGCCCAGGAGGGCCACGAGCGGGTGGTCGAGCTGCTGCTGCGGCGCGGTGCTGACGTCAACCTGCAGAGCTTCAACGACGACACCGCGCTGATGCACGCCGCCATCGACGGCCATGAGCGGGTGGTCGAGCTGCTGCTTCGGCACGGCGCTGAGATCAACCTGCAGAGGAGCGACGGCATCACCGCGCTGATTGTCGCCGCCCAGGACGGCCACGAGCGGGTGGTCGAGCTGCTGCTTCGGCACGGTGCTGAGATCAACCTGCAGAACAGCAAAGGCGGCACCGCGCTGATGCTTGCCGCCGACAGCGGCCACGAGCGGGTGGTCGAGCTGCTCATGCGGCGCGGCGCGGAGATCAACCTGCAGGACAGCGACGGCTTGACCGCGCTGATGGGCGCCGCCGAGAACGGCCACGAGCGGGTGGTCGAGCTGCTGCTACAGCACGGCGCGGAGGTAAACTTGCAGAACGGCGGCGGCGGCACCGCGCCATGAACGCCGCCGACAACGGCCACGAGCGGGTGGTCGAGCTGCTGCTGCGGCACGGGGCGGAGATCAACCAGCAGAACAAGGGGGGCGACAACGCGCTAATGCTCGTCGCCGACAGCGGCCACGAGCGGGTGGCGAATTTGCTGATACGGCACGGCGCGGAGATCAACCTGCAGAGCAGCGACGGCGTCACCGCGCTGATGAACGCCGCCGAGAACGGCCAAGAGCGGGTGGTCGAGCTGCTGCTGCGGCACGGCGCAGAGGTTGATTTGCAGGACAGCGACGGCTTCACCGCGCTGATGGCCGCCGCCTGCAGCGGCCACGAGCGGGTGGTCGACTTGCTGCTTCGGCACGGCGCTGAGATCAACCTGCAGAGGAGCGACGGCGGCACCGCGCTGATGCTTGCCGCCAACAAAGGCCACGAGCGGGTGGTCGAGGTGCTGCTACGGCGCGGCGCTGAGGTCAACCTGAAGGACAGCGATTGCGGCCCCGCGCTGATGGCCGCCGCCTACAGCGGCCACGAGCGGGTGGTCGAGCTGCTGCTGCAGCATGGCGCTGAGATCAGCCTGCAGAGGAGCGACGGTGTCAACGCACTGATAGCTGCCGCTATTGGAGGCCACGAGCGGGTGGTCGAGCTGCTGCTACAGCACGGCGCGGAGGTAAACTTAAACTTGCAGAACGGCAACGGCGGCACCGCGCTGATGAACGCCGCCGGCCACGGCCACGAGCGGGTGGTCGAGCTGCTGTTGCGGCACGGCGCTAACGTCAACCTGCAGAGGAGCGACGGCGGCACCGCGCTGATGAACGCCGCCTACAGCGGCCACGAGCGGGTGGTCGAGCTGCTGTTGCGGCACGGCGCTAACGTCAACCTGCAGAGGAGCGACGGCGGCACCGCGCTGATGTGCGCCGCCTACAGCGGCTGCCTCGCCATCGTGCTCCGCTTGCTTCGGGCTGGCGCAGATGCAAAGGCTCGCTCTGCAGACGGGTCCGCGCTGCAGATCGCCAAGGAGGAGGCAGTCAGGGTGCTAGCTACTGCCGACGCCGCCAGTGCTCCTGAAGCGGACCACGCTGGGTGCGTGCGCGCTCTCACAGAGCACGCAGCGGCGCTGAGAGAGGCGGAGGCAGCCGAGAAGGCGCTCGAGGCCAAGGGGCGGCGCGAGCAGCGCGAGAGGGAGGCGGCGGCGGCGGCGCGAGAGCGCGAGCAGGCGGCAAGCAGGCGCGAAGCAGAGCGAGCGGCGGACGAGGCACGGCGAGCGGCGGACGCTGCGGCGCTGGAGGAGCAGAGGCGAGCGATTGCGGCGGAGGCGGAGGCGAAGCTAGCCGCTGAGCGCGCGGCAGCAGAGGAGACGCTGCGGGCGAGGGAGGCGGAGAGGCTTGCGGCGGAGGAGGCGCAGCGAGAGGAGCAGCGGGCGGCCGCGGCGGCGCGCAAAGCTGCTCAGGCAGAGGCGGCGCGGCGCGAGAAGGAGGCTGCGGACAAGAGGGCGGAGGAGGAGAAGGCGAGGCGGCGCTCAAAGGCGGCGGAGGCAACGGCTGCCAAGAAGGAGGCCAAGGCGAAGAACAATAAGGCCAAGAAGGCGCCGTCCGCCTTGAAGCTCGAGGAGGAGCGGAGGGCGCGGGCTGCGGCAGAGCTGCGAGAGCAGGAGGAGAGGGCGGCGCGGCTGGCTGCTGAGCAGGAGGCGGCGAGGCGGGCGGAGCGCGAGGCGGCAGAGCTAGCGGGTGCGGCAGAGCAGGCGGCGCTGCGCGAGGATGCGGAGCTGGCAGAGGCGCTGCGCCGGTCAGAGAGAGATGCGGAGGAGGAGGCTCTGGCGCGTCGGGTGTCGCGGTGCGAGGAGGCAGTGAGCAGCGAGTCGACCGGCGGCGGGGACCTGATGCGGCGTGTCGAGCGGCTGGAGGCGAGCCTCGGCGCGGCGACCGAGGGCAGCCTCGAGGAGCGGGTCGGCGCCATCGAGCGCTTGATCGGGCCAGAGGCGGGAGAGGCGGCGGAGCAGCATCTGCCAGTCACTGAGCCGCTTGCTGCCGTCTCACTAGCTGACGCCGGCCTCGACACGGGGCGGCCGGCTGCCCCCGAGTCCACGATAGGGGGAGAGACCACGTGCATCGTGTGTTTCGCGAGAGTCAAGTCGCATGCTGCGGTTCCGTGCGGGCACTTGTGCGCTTGCGGGCCATGCTCTGAGCTGATGCGAGAGTGCCCTTACTGCCGCGAGCCAGCGATGATGTGGATGGTTCCGCGTCCGGTCTAGGCGTCTAGATTTGTGTACTTTTGAACGTCCCCACTCGGTGTCCTCGGTGACGGTGTCGGAGCGGTCGGCGATGGAGTTCGTAGAGCCGTACGGCTACGGGGTGTGGAGGGTGAGTTGACCAGGGGTTGTGTGCGCTGCCGCTGCGCGCTGGGCCCTCCTGCTCGGCTCCAGCGAGTAGACAAGTCTTGTCATCAACAGAGTAGTGAAGAATCTGACCTCGGGGCCGATGTAGCCCATCGCTGTGACAGCTCAGGCAGCCGCACAGTAGGCTGTGCCAACTGTGCAGAGCGTGTGAGCAGCAGAGGAGCTGCCCTCCCCAAGCTTCTGTCGCAAAAAGAGAGCTGCATGCCACCGAGAAGGCGCTGTCGAGGTTCGCCGAGCGCGGCGCAGGTTGGAGGACACCGTCACCGACGAGCGCGTTGGACTTTTCACTCCGGACAAAGACGGCGACACGCACATGAGCTGCGGCCGTACGCCGTCATAGCGGCGAGGCGCGGGACCGTCTGTGGCGAAGTGGGTCGCGTCCTCCGATTTCCGTCAACTCATACGAGCGTCATCTTGTAGTGAACAGGCCGAGTTCGCGGTTTGAGCGCCCAGCGCAGACCGACCGACCGCAGGGCGGGTCCGGTCGACGGCCGCGGAAGACCGCAGACCGGAGGGGGGGTCCGGTCGGTCGGAGCACAGACCGAGGGGGGGGGGGGGGGGGGTCGGTCGGGTTGGCTCGAGGGTCACACACACTATCTCTCTTCGCAGTCCCTCGCCGATTCTCGCTGCAACCTTCATGCCACCTCTCGGTCGTCCCACTCTCGTCGTTCTCTCCCTTGTCGCTTCTTCCTCTGTCGCGTCGCTCTCCTCTGCCTCGTTCTGCGACGACGCCGCTGCCTGCCGATCCCTTGCCCTCGCCTCTCGGCGCAACTCTGCCCTCCTCGCAGCATTCCTGGCCCCTCGAGTTTATCGAGCTCTCCTCGCGCAAGGATGACTCTTCTGACGCCCACTGCGACCATTTGCCGCCAAGTCATATCGTTGCTCAGGTGCACTCTCTCTTCGGACACTTGTACCTCCACGGCTGATGCTGGCGCTGGGGTCCCCTTCGGATGCATCGTGACAGCTGACGGCGGGATTTCCACTGGCTCGTCCTCCTCAGAGTCGTCTTCCCCGGCTTCCTCCCGTTCTCTTTCTATCTCCCTGCGCATGCAAATTCTTTTTGTGAACGAGCTTGCCTGTGGCGGGGGTGGGCGGGTGCACGGAGCTAAGTGCCTCGCCACCCTCGCAGGAGTCGCTTGGCGGCTCCCGTGGTGTACCTGTGTTAGTGCCAGTGCGCGCCAGTCCCGTGCCCAGTGTTGTGCGAGCGATTGATTGATTGATGGGTAAAATTCTTTCTCCTCGATAAGTTCAAGTCGACGTGCTCCTGTCAACCTCCAAACAGGACCGTCACGGCCTTCCACATGTTGAACACGGCGCCAAAAGATGCGGCGAAGGAGGCCGCGTCACCATTCAACATCAGCCACGCCGAGCTGGAGCGGCTCTTCGCCACCGACCTCGCGCTTTACCGGCTTCTTCGAACGTAGTCTCTGGGGGGGCGCGGGGGCCCCCGGAGGCACCGTGCGCCGCGCCGCAGTGCGGAAACGGGGCTCCGGCTCTATTAGTCTCTATTAGCACCAACTTCCCGAATGATTACGGTTGATTAGATGGCAGATTTGGAGAGATCTCGAGGAGTACACACAGATAGACCCTCCAATCATCAGTAACCTCCAACCTGATCGGTCGTACTGACCGCCGACAGATCACTCCAGACAGCAGACAGGCCGACGTCTGCACGCGGCCGGCCGGGCGAGAGGCTTGACACGATCCGACCCTGCCCTGACGCTGCTGCTCTAGCTATCAGCCATGGACTGCTGACTGCTGCCACAATGTGCGACCGGTGCTGGCCCACTTGGCGGCCTCCCCGGTCAGTGGTGAGGCGCAGTTCAGAGCTGTCGATGGCGCGATGCCGCACTGGTCCCATATTGGTGACACTAGACCACAAAGTTTGCCGGTCCAAGAGAGAGGCACCGGCGCTGTCCTGAGAAGGTGCGTGGTCCTTCATGACTGCCCATGCGCGCGAGGCTGTGTAGGCATAGCCTCGAGAGTGCCAGCAGCCAATCCGAGGCGACGCGCATTGCACCAAGCGTGCACACGATGGAAGGACACCTTCCTACTGGCCGTACGATCAGGTCGTCACTGAATGCTTGATACTAAGGCCGCGAGCTATGCAGGTGATCAATTGTGCAGCACGGCACGGTCAGCAGCGCCGAAAGGATGTCGCAAGGCGTGATAGCATGGCCGCAAGTACGCCGAATTCCCGTGAAAACAACTGAAAAATCGCGCAAAAAAAAGAAAACACTGCAGAAATCGGCGCCTGCGGCGGGCCATGGGACCCCATCGCCCCCCCGCATGGACACCCTCTGGGGCCCCCGCGCCGGCCCAGAGAACGGAGTTTGAGCGGCGAGTGCGTCTAGTGGAGGCCCATACAGGAGTCATGTTCTGGTGCCCGACTTGAGGCGGGGGGGTTTCGAATTCTTTTTTTGAGCGCCTTCGTTGTTAATAATAATACAAACACAGTGGTCCCGTGTCGTAGTCACACCTGCCGTATCCACACACACGCACACGCCGCTCAGCACCGCTCGCCCGGCCCCCGCCCCGCCCCAGGCGGGAAAGAGATGAGGAGATGGGACAGCGAAGGAGGAGCCCAACACTTAGTGGAGGTAATTCTTTCTCCAGTCTGCTGTGAGATGGGCTTATTGCCGGTGTCGGTAGAATTCTTTCTGCGTCGAAGCAAGTGGAAGTCGGCCGTATCATCGTAACATCCTTCGGAGCCAGATGCTCTCGCTGATCTCTCTCCCCAGCTCGCTCGTTCTCACCTCCACGACGCACGCGCCCGTCGTTCGCGCGCGTGCGGCACCAGCGATGATTGGAGAGGGGCCTCAGGTGCATGCTCGCGTTGCCAGTCTCTCCCGCCCCGCCGCTTTTGCATCTTTCGCCTTGCTCCACAGGGCTATGCGCCGAACATCGTCCCCGAGAACTTCCAGGGCACGGTCGTTCCGACCCAGCCGTACGGGTGAGCGGCTGGAATCTCACTCGCCGCACACTGCCCTCGCCGCCTGAAGCCTCGGCCCATCTGACCGCACCAGGCTACCGATGATCGCCGGGCGGTCCATTGAGGACGTCTATGCGGCTCAGCAGAAGACGCGTGACAAGGACGACATTTACGACCCGAAGTGCAAGGCGGACGGTAAGGCGCACCGGACCGCAGTCGTGACCACCGGATGGGGCGAGATGGAGTGACCGGGCTCGCGGCGGGACCGGAATCCAACTTGAGAGATATTGCAGATGTGTCGGATGTGCCGTGGGATGGATATGCGCTGGCGTACGTATCTTTGCTGTGTATCAATAAACAAATACAGGTACCGCGAGTCAGAGGTGTGAGTGTGTGCGCGTACTGGATCACTGCAGAGATCGCCCCTCTACCTCTGCCCCGTACTGGATTACTGCAACGCCCCTCTGCCTCTGCCCCCGCCTCCCTTTACTTGCTTCCAAAAACCGCCCAGCACTCGGCGTCCTCCGGCCCGCCTCCGTTCTTGACGTTGGTGAAGCCGTTCGCCTCCAGGTATTCCTTCGCCTTTTGGCCGCGCCCGCCGCCGCCGCAGTGCGAGATGATCGGGGTCGCCTTATCCTTGCCGTCCAGCGGCGAGAGGTCCATCGACGCGGTGGCGCGGTCGAAGACGATGTTGACCGCAGCCTTGCGGCTAGGGTCTCCGATCTTTGCGGTCTTGTTTGTCTCGCCGTCGCCCGGCTCCTTCTCAAAGTCCGGGTTGCGGACGTCGACAACGACCAGATCACCGCCCGCCTGTTCGACAAAGCTGGCCAGCTCCTCCGGAGGGCTCACACCCGGTTTGCGGCCCATGATGGCAAAGGAGCGGGAGAGCGGCGAGTGCGACGCGGCGGCGCGGGAGAGCGGAGCGGAGAGCGGAGCGCCGGCACGGAAGGCTGGGAAGAGCACGGTGAAGCCGAGCATTCACTGCGGTGGGGGAGGCGACGGGTGAGGAAGGGACAGGGTCAGCGACAGATCGTGCTAGCTTTATATTATACCAAAAGCTAGGCTCACAACGCCCTCTATGTAGGGCCGCGGCTTACATGGAGGGTCGGAAACGAGAAAAACGCTCTTCGCGAAGTAGTTTGTCTGGTCGCAGTGGCGTGTATGGCGCCGCAGGGGACACGCTTCTCAAAAACTGACGCGGCCAAAGACCAAAGCCCTCTAGACAGAGAGCTGCTCTATCTCCGCCTCGAGCTGCTGAATGGTGAGCTGGCTGTCCGCGTCCGCTCTGTCCGTGAGATCAACCTCTGTCTCGCGTCTGCCAAGCCAACGTTGTGCTGCCGTGGCCTCGGGGCCGCAGGGACGGTGGGTGGCGCTCTCTTGCGCGCGTCGGACGCGAAGGACTGAGACAAGCAGACGCCTGAGTGTCGACTGCTGCTCGTCCTGGCGCTGCGCCTCAGCACGGTGGAGCTGTCGCTTGAACCAGCGCATGAGAACGCAAGGCACCACCACGGCTAGCAGCACCCCACTCGCCGCAAGCGCGATGAGGATGCTACGCTCTTGCGCTGCCGCCGGCGAGGTCGACAGTAGTGACGGACGAGAGGGTGCGGGAGGAGAGGGCGGTGATGCTGCTGACCCCCACCCCCAGAGCAGCAGAGGCTCCGTCGAGTCCCAAAGT